CTCACGTAGACAAATTAATCAAAGAAAGAAAAAAATTGATTTTGCAGCAACTGCAGCTCTCTGGGTCTATTGCTTGTGTATGTTTTATGAGTAGCCACACTTCTGCACTTCCTTCTTCTCTCTTACCTCACAAACAGAGGCTCAGTGCTTTTGATGCTGTGCAATGCTTTATTTTAGAGTTCAATATGTAGTATTTTTCAGGTGCCTGCCATGCAATTCTCGTGCATGATCTAATTTCTCCTTATGTTCAGTTCTTAAATTGTTGCCATTTACTAGGGCAGAACATAGTCTTCAAACCGTGAGTATCTTTCAGGCATCACGTCTCAACCTTCTTGGTATTACAGCATTGATTTTTCTGGACTGGTGAAGAAATGAAGTGGCAGCTGTTTCTTTACTGTTCTAGAGGAAATTAGGAGGACACTAACTTTTTGTATTCTTGAAAAAATGCCAGCAAATAATTTCCCTCTTAAATTGATGATAGAGATGCATCTAATTCTCTTGATGCTCTAGGGGAGAAAATGGCAAGAGGTATTCCCACCTATCCTAGAAAGGAAGCTAAAGCTGATGCTGTGTGCAGCACATTGACAACAGGTTTTAAGGAACTCCAGATCCTATAAAGGTAAGTACCTTCCCCCGCCTCCCCGTTCAGAACCTGAGATCATCTCTGTATGAATGAAAAACTGTCAGGAAGGATATAGCCTTTATTTATATTTCCTTCCATCTTCCTGCTTGGATTCACATCAATTCCTTTCACCTTCCCCTGATGTTCCTCTTTTTTTCCATCTCTTATCAGAATCTATTTTACTCATCTAGCACAAGTAGAAAGCAGCAGAGCAATAATGCAGAAAAGAGTGAATTTTGGGCTCATCTTCAATAAAACAAGGGTCTTCAGAGAACTTCTGGAGAAATTCCCCTGCTCTCTGCCAGTTGTCTACATATGAGAGAGTCAACAGATGGGGAAACACACGATATGCAGGTGGAAGGAGGTAGAGCAGCTGAGCAGAACTGGAGAGAAACTAGCAAAGAAAAAGGCTTAGGAGCACGTCCTGTCCTGTCTGTGTACATGTTGTATTTGTGCATGCAAGCACATATACAGAGGAAGGCTTGCATGTTCCTAGCAGCCTAATGGGGCACCGTCTGGATATAGTTTCCTGGTCATCAGGCTTACATTCTTTTCTTTAACTTCCTGCTATCTAGGTTAACAGATCTCCTGTTCTATGGCCTATTTTTTTCCTCCTTTACATTTAAGGCTAATAGCTGCAGATACATATGCATGTGAAATGAATGAGTATGTACGCACTTGAGTGCATGAAGATGCTTGACCTACCTATGCTTTGCAAGGGGCTCTTTGGGGATGAGGTGACTAGAAGGATTTAGGGGAACTACAGTTTCCCATCAACACCTCGTATTAGTGTGATAGACTGTCATTTTGCATCCCCTGCAATATGTCTGGGGCTGCTTCCAGCCCTGAATATGTAATGGTTATTCTAATTACAGTGATTTAATGTTACATGCTGTTGTATAAAAAGTTGCACGAAAACGTTGCACTTTCTTAGGATGATTACATAGGAGACTGGTACAGCTCATTAAAAATATGGTGGAAAATGTTTTAATTAATATTAGGGAACAGATTTTTCTCCCAAAATCTGGTTACCCAAACCATTGTGGAATTCTGAAGTGATCCCCTAAACTATTGTGATGTTGCTATGGAAATATGCAGGCGCTTAGACTGAAATTGTGGAAGAAAAAGATGATTTCTTATAATCTGAGAAGAATGAGTGATGCTTGTCCACCTAAGAACTGCTATAGGTATTGTCATAACTAAAGGCAGAAAAGAAGGCAGAGTTGTACAACATATGCATTTTTTTTAACATTAGTTTCTGCCCCATAAGACTTTTCAGGTCTTCCCACTGAGAGGAGTATTTCTGAAAAGCAGAGTCTTAATAACTAGATATTAGAAATCTGTGCTGTTCCTGGAGAGAATTGGAGTCTGCTGTGCCCAGAGATACTTCTCCCATTGTGACTTAAAATATATATGAATATATATTATTATACATACTATATATGTGTGTGTGTGTGTATAGTTGGTGGCAAGTGTTTATAAAGGCCACGTGCATGTGCTCACAGTCCAGATCCTGTGTGCTGGGCACGGGGACAAGTCTTTATGCAGACCCATCAGTATCTTCAGCCAAACATGACATGTGTTTCTAGGCATATATTATGGAAAAACCATAGCAAATCAACAGATGTTCTGTTTCCATAATTTTTTTTAAGTCCCTGTACTTCCTACTGGGATTGTCAGTGGCAAGCAGTAGAATTAAAGGTGTCTATGTGATTAATGCCCTTTAGTTTAAAATTATTCTTTCTTCCATATTTTTAAGTTAATCACAAATTTTGGTGGAAAAGATCTGCAAAGCCTTAGGTTTGCATTTTCTTCTGAGGGCTGTCGGCCATGCCGAGAGGATGTCCCACAATAGTGCACCTCAGCATCAAGGCATTGATCCTTACTCTGCAGTGCAGTGTTCACAGTTGTAGTGGTGGCTTATTGTAGCTCCTTTCATTTTGGGCCTAAGCATTAGTCGTTCTGGCTCCTGTTCCGTCTACCTCGTCTGGAAAATCTGCCCTCTGTGCAAATGCATTTCTGTGTAATTTCTGCTTCTGTTTAAACTGTGTCTGCAGGCCCCTTTCCTAGTTTGACATATTGTACTTTGTGTTAAGCTATACTGTGCCCACAGTGAGATACAATCCTAGCCTGAAAAATAATCCAAAAACAAACAAACAAGAAAAGGGGCCGAGAGTATGGAGGGGAAGAAGAGTCACTGAGATTTCACTTTGGCCTCAAAGTAAGCTAGCAGTACAACTGAGATTGGAAGCTGAATCTCTCTTCAAGTCAGTGTTACAGTAGACTGTCTATAAACAGCATATGATTATCATCATATATTCACATTTCCTTACTCTGTCTTAGGAAACAGATTATATCCCTTTATGAGTATCTGTTTTTTTTTTGTTTTTTTTTGTTTTTTTAAACTTAAGACTACATAGGATTTAAGAGATACCCCCTGCTCCTCCCAGGAAGACACTGTGTACTCTGTAGGTGGCCCTTCTCACTCCTTCACTACTGAAGTATGCCTGGTGGAAAGAAAAGGTGTCCGAACTCTGAAAAGTAGTGAATTTCAGCCTAGCCTCTTTATGCCCTAAAAATCTATTGTAACGTGTCTAAATGTAGGGTGTGGTTGTACCCTGCACCAGGAGGAGTTACCTTATTTTATATCTTTTTCTCGCTGTTCTCCAAGGGTAAGTGTAATCTCCCTGGAGTCCTGTAAATTATTGATGTAAGTGCAGACTTGGGAGATGAAGAACTTTGACCAATGATTTGACCAAGATTCAATGAATGAACTTGCATGTTAAGTCAGGAGCTTTACTTGTTTTCTGTCTATTTTTTTTTTCTTGTAATTGTATCTGCTTTCTTGGCTGTGTTGCACTGACAGTAAAAGTTTAGCAATACTGCTTTTCTTCCTGTTCTTTTTCACTTATTCCCAAGTGTGATACCATTTGCTGGGTGGAGGAAATCCCTTCCTTAGTATTTTCTCCTATAACTCTCATTTTACTTTTTTCCCCTGTATAGTTCACCTCTATAGTACAGTTTTCCTATTCCAGTATATCTCGGCAAATCTGTTTTGCTCGGTTTCATCTTTGGGAAATCGCTATGGCTTACTTCATACAAAACGGAAGCGTAAAATAGCCTTAGAGAGTATGGCACTCAGATATAGCTCTGGGGCAAACTTTATTTAGCATCCTTTTAGTACTTGAACCTTTTCTTTCTCTTGCAAAATCTCCTGCTGATAAATCAGTATGTGCAGGCGAGTAACTTATACAAAACACCTTCATCGCCATTTTCAGGCTTATACCATACATTAACAAAAAAGGGGGGGGGGGCATCCCCCCAAGCTGGTTAAGGTTTTCCCCCCCCCAATTTTTCTGAAGAGCAAGCTAGTTCCCCTCTCAGAAATGAAATCAGCAGCACTTAAATTTGTGGTAGGAGGTGGCTAGCATTAACCATGAGAGCAAAGCTCCGGACACGCAGCGATCACTGGCTTTATTGCTAGATTTTTCACCCTTCTACCTCAGGTAAGTCACTTCCCTTCTCTTGTACTCAGCTTTCGCACTTCTGAACGTGGGAGAAACCTTCCTCTTTCTCCTTTCCAGCTGCACACAGCTCCTCAGCCCCTGATGTTACCAGCTGTGAAGACGTGTAGGGTTTTTTTGGTTGAAGGTGCCCAGGAAGATCAGGGACGCTGTGGTAACGTAGCCTTATGCTGGCACAAACGTTAACACCGTGCGTGTTTCCCGCGTGGGTCCGCCCAGGGCTGCAGGAGGTGGCAGGCCGAGACCCCCTCGCGTGGGGCTGCGTGTGCAGGT